CTCTTTCGCCGCACATGTCCTGTTTTCAATACGACACTCATGGTAACAAATATGTAAATTAGTCATCAAAACATAGATTATTTAAAAAAAGATTCGTGTTTCAATAATACTGATAAATAAACCATCAATTAACCAATGCACCATCAACAGATGACATCGGAGTCCCGTCACGTGATCACGATGTGAAATTTCTCCGCTAGAGTGCATCACTTGGCATTAAATGTCAATTGCCGAATTCGATAAAATTCTTGTCGACATCACTTTAATTAAGCACTGAAGAAAATTAGGTTACGACATTTAAATAATAATTAATAACAATTCTAACAACATGAAGTAAGGTTGATTGGCAGTACTACCTATTTCAAACAGAAAGCGTCGGTAGTTCTACCGAATGAAACAGAAACGTCGAAAAATATGGAAAAATACTTCATTTCATTTGTAAACTTTTACGAAAAAAAAAATTGTTTCCTTGAAAACTTGTTTTACGATTTCTTTCCCTTAGAAGCTTATTTTAAGGTTTTTGTAGCTTAATCCGTCCTTTGGTTATTAGACAATAACAAGAATCAATATTAACAATGTTCGAATTGGGCAGCAAATGCGCCACCCCACGCTCCCCTAACCAATGCTTTCCTAACCTCACAAATTGTAATTTGTTTATTTGGAAGTCCATGAACTCTCAAAAATTGGATTTGTTCTAAAGACAAAACTTACCACTTAAAGATCTGGATAACATAAGCGTTAAAAGCAGCCATTTTATGCAGAATCTTCTCCACATTTCAAACACACCAACAATGCTTAACCACCAGATAAAACAGAAAAATCCGTGTAAAGTTAACTGTCACAACCACAAAATAGAAGACGTTTTGAAAAAATATTAACACAAATAAATTTAAATGAGTTATGAAGCATGAACGCACTTTTTCAACCGTAGAATCACGGACACATCACGGAACAATATATTCCCAACAATCCCAACTTCCCAACAACTTTGTGCGCACGCGTCCTACAAAATTTAGGAAGTGTCTAGGTAGCCACCCGTGGTAGCCACCCGTGGTAGCCACTAGCTATTATTTCTGTTTTCTACCTATTAACCAATTAACCTATTTATTTATATTAAGGATCTATACCACGTGATTGTAAAAATATCAATTATTATTAGTGAATTAAATAATAGTTGACCAAAGCTTTATTGTTATTGACATTATTTTAATAAAAATAAAACTTAAACAATCAGACATGTAAATAATAATTGCCACATTGAATTACAACGCTTATCTTCCTCAACAAACGCATGATTGTCATTACAAGACTGAACTTCGAAAACTGTTTGCAGATAAAAAATCGCTGCTGTGGCGGGATGTTTCTTAACTTCAGATGGAAGAACACCAGCCAAATCGTATTACTTGTTAATCTTGTTATGGTTTACAGTATTTAACATTACTAGCATGATAAAAGCAACATAAAGTCGCGATCTTTTCTATAGAACCACTCCCTAGTGTAAATTTTCAAAATTTGTTTGGTGTAAGTGACCTTGACGGGTTTCTGGGGGAAACATATGTGTCAAAAATTTGACAGGTTAGATGGCCCCATTGTCAATGTAGATATTTTATTTTAATAAATAGATGAACAGAATATACAGTCTGTACCGGATACAGTGCGGCATAGCTAAGGGCAACCGAAACATTCGTGTTGTTCTAATTTCGATTGCCATATCAACTGCCGCTACCAACTGCGTTCGGCGTAAAGTACTAGATGACAGGGCTACCAACTTGACTTTTTATCGAGTGGTTCCGTAGAAATGACCGCTACTGTACAAGTATGTAACAATAGTTATTTTTATTTACAAATGAGGAACAAATAAAATATTCAACAGTACTTACTTTCTCTCCGCTATAAATATACTTTTACCATGCTAGTAATGTTAAAATTGCTATTAGATATTAAATGTAATTGTTATTTCACATATTATAGAATTGTAGAATTCTACCTCCATGATTATATACCAACAAAAATACGTGCAAAACTTAGGTGTATTATGTATTGCCTACGTAACGAAATTTTAATGTTTAATTTTTAACACCTATCATTTCTATTTTTACTTTTGTTTTAATTCGACTTTAGTAAACAATCATCTGTGATCTTCCTCGCAATATTTTAATTTTAGATTCTTTTATACGGTGTATGATGTATACAGTAGCGGTCATTTCTACGGAACCACTCGATAAAAAGTCAAGTTGGTAACCCTGTCATCTAGTACTTTACGCCGAACGCGGTTGGTAGCGGTAGTTGACATGGCAATCGAAACTAGCACAACACGAATGTTTTGGTTGCCCTCAAATATGGCGCACTGTATCCTGTGCAGACTGTATGTTCTGTTCATCTATTTATTAAAATAAAATATCAACATTAACAATGGGGCCATCTAACCTGTCAAATTTTTGACACATATGTTTTCCCCCAGAAACCCGTCAAGGTCACTTACACCAAACAAATTTTGAAAATTTACACTAGGGAGTGGTTCTATAGAAAAGATCGCGACTTTATATGTTCGAGGAGAATATTCTCCTCTCGCCTGTGTAGTTTAGCAAAGAAAAGAATAAGCAAAAAGGTACAGATTCTACGAAACAGATGCCATGGAATGTTTTTACTTCTGTCCCTTCACTTGTAGGATTTTCTACGGAGGAATGGATTTTACATAATTGTATTGTCATATGCTACCCGTGTATACGGTGACTACGTTGCAAATTTTATTGTGAAGCAGAAGCACAGGGTTTACTTGACGCATTGACTGTTGAAGAAATTAAGGCAACGTGGACTTCCTGATCTCACATCCGTACTTAATTAATTAATTTATAAATTTAATGACGTCAAAATGTTAATAAACCATCATTATTAACAGTTTGCTATCAGTATCCAAAATATGTGTTAGGTGAAAATGTTGCGGATCAGTTTATACACCTTTATCTTCAATTTTTTTCCTATTTGTTCTATGTCCTGTGTCCTCAAACGTAGTATTCAGTAAAGGTTCTTTGTGAACTCCATATAAAAATGTTCTATTCTTGGGAAGTTGTTCATTAAATCTCCACCGAAATGTTGATATTCATTTTACTCATTTGATGAGTGATGAGCACAGTGAATCACAACAGTATTGCCAGCGTCTATGTTACCTTCTAGTAATCTAAACACAAATCAAAATCATCAAAACAAAAACAAATTTTAAGCAGGTTTACCTTACAGCTTTCTTGTTTGTCTTTTCCTCTTGGGCAATGTTTTTGAATGGCCAACAGTAAGCACTTTTTGCGATGGAATAGAACCCTTCTTCAGACATTTTCTATTGGAATTTGAAGTACCTTGAACAAGACCAAACCGTCAAGATTTATATCTTTCGCCGGATTTGCTAATTTAGTACTTCTAAATTTAGACGAAAAAAAAATTGGTCGAAGATTATTTCGACAGAACTTCCCTAGCTCGAGAAGAGTAATTACCACCCCCTCAATCCCTGCGCCTCGAGGGTGTAAATTCCAAGGGGGCACTGTCTGAAGAAATACGGACAATATAAAATATATTTAAAGCAGATAATCAGTGGGAAACAACGTATTCTTAATTCTAAGTACTTGTTTAACTTTAACTGTTTTGTTTATGTTTATGCTTCTAAAGAATTCGACCATTAGCACGTCATATCGTATCAGCACCGGCAGTGAACTACGTAACGGTGGCAATAAATGCATGCATATGTATTAAAAGAAACTAACATTAGATTGATTTTGTCTCTTCAACACAGAAGTGAGGACCCATTAATTAAGTAAGCATACTCAGTTTTTTTGCCCAAAAAGTATACTTAGATAATAGCAAAATGGTACAAGAACAAAATAAATTGACTGATTTATTAATTTTTTTGAGTCACCCTGTACAAGCAAATCTAAAATTTTTAGATGACGTCATCAATTTTTTGGGTTTACACAGATACATTTTGATTTAAAAGTGACCATGGTTACAATAACGTTTGCAAGATTTCAAAGTATTCAGTTTTGAAATTCTTGATTTAATGAATAAAATAAATTGACTGACTCATAGATTGAGAAACCCACAAGGTTCAGTCTAACACAACTTTTTATTTTCATTTTAATGTTTTAAAAATATATAAAGTAAACTGTTTATGTTCAAATATAACAGCAAAAAAATTGGTGGAAAGTTGTTTCGACAGAACTTCCCTCGCACCTAAAATACAATGAAACATATCCAGCATTTTCGAGTTAAATTTTTACTTTAGGTACACAATTTTGTGATGAAATCACCAACATTTTGCAAGGACACGTGAATCAATGTAGATTAGACTAAAAATAACAGTATTCCAAAAATTTCTGGGAAAATGGAGTGAGTCGAGACTGATTTAATCAATAGAATAAATTGACTCATTCATTAATTTTTTTGAGCCACCTAGGTATATAAGCAAATCTAAAAAATATGAATGCAATGATAAATTACAAGTAAAAACTCATCATATTTTGCACATTTTTAGTAGAATTTATTCAGCAAAATTTTGAGATGACGTTATCAATTTTTTAGTAGCATTATCCTGAACTTGTGGTTTATAGATACATTGAGATTTTTCGGCTTTTCGGTTTTTCGATTTTTCAACTTTTGATGCTTCAATTTTTCAGTATTTTATTTTTTGACATTTTCAATTTTTCCATTCTTCAAATTTTCGATTTCTCCATTTTTTTATTTTTCGATTTCTCAATTGTCCGATGTTTCACTGATACGATTTCGCAATTTTTCAACTTTTCGATATTTTAATTAATTAATTAATTATTAAAAAAGTAATTTTCAAATACTTACTATTTTATGAAAAAACAAATTTCACTAACAATAAGTGTAAAGGAAAATGAAACATTTTAATACTTCAAGAAAACTTATTATGTTGTTATAGTTATATTTGGTTCCTTGTTTAAACTAGTTATCAAAACCATGAAAAATTAATAATGTTTCCAGAAATTTCGCTGTATTTAACAAATCTGAACAAGGCATCAATAGTTTCCCGTTTGAAAGAAATTGAATCCAGTCACAGTCGTCTTTACTTGTATCAGTCAAGTTTTCTGTAGGGGTACCAAGACCTGGATATTTTAGTTGGAAGCAATGAGCTTCAGACCCTGCCACATATTTATGTGCCGCTAAAGTTAGATGACTGTCTGTTAATTGAACTCTTACTTCACTGGAGTCATCTAAAATTTCTAGCTTGGCTATATCACCTTCCTCGTTTTCATTTGATGGTGCATTATAAATACACTGCGTAATTATAATCGATGAGAACAGTGATTCTGTTAAACACATCTCTTCGTCATCGTCATCTGCTCGGGTAAGTAAGGCAGCATAGTCTTTTTCGCAATTTGTGTTGATTGCAATGGCAACGGACGAATGCTTCCATAGAATATATCGCTTTAGTCTATGTTTGAAATCGATTGGATTGGGATTGTCATTTGCTCCTCCCATTCCTCGAATGTAGGAGAAAAAATTTTCGAGTATGTCTTGGTCCAAACGTCGTGTTAAAATGTAATTTATTTTATATGCATTATGCAGATATTGATATAATGCTAATAATGACTTGTTGCTAATTATAACAGCGTTTTGAAAGGGCAGTATATTGGTTTTACCTATAACTCTGAGATTTTCCATGGTGGAAGTCATTTTGTTAATGGTTGTCACTTGTTCTTGGAAATCAATACCGAAATCATTGCACCATGGAGAAAATTTCATATTTGTGTTAAATAGTCGAACCAATCATTTACAAGTTTTATAAAGCTCGCCGTGTTTTTGTAGTTTTTGTCAGGGATTAATTTGTTGTCACCACACCATTCTACTGCTTTGGACACCGTGTTGGACAATAACTGGGCAGCTGGTTTGACTTTTTGCCTTTGGCTGCCTTTTACATCTAAGTGGTATGAGTTGATTTTATGAGCGATTTTTAATTCTGATGACTGAGATATTTTTAACAGAGACTCTACGCAATTCTTCGTGATCATTTCATCAAAAAGTTTAAATCCTTTGCCCAAAAAATGATTGCGAATTAATTTTAAAAGGTGCGGTAGATCTGCAAACAAAAAAATGAGTTTCTCAGAATCAGAGGGGTCGACAAAAGAAACATGATCCTTATCTATTCCCTTTGCTTTCCAAAGAGCCATATTGCTCGGTCCCATGTCATTAACAATTGCCACAACAATATATTTACATTCAAATAATTGTTTTACAACATCTAACAATTCGTCTTTGTTTACAGGTGCATCAAAGTTATAATACACGGGCTGCTTCCAAGAGGAAAATAGACCCTGACACATCATGACCTGTGCCGTCTTATGAGGCCCAAACACTTGTTCCAGTGATCTATCAAGACAGATTTCATCTTTAATGAACATCTCATCGATTGACAGTACAGTTAAACGTTCCATTTCTGATAAAGTTTTCGCCTTCTCTTTCATTAAATATAAGACAGAGTGTAGAAGGCCAGTATTAATTATGAAAGATGATGCCTATTTTCTTAGAGTACTCAATCCTGGTAGGGGCCAGTGGCATTGTTGTCTTAAATAGCTGTATGCTTTAGGACTAACACTACGCAATGAAATGGCAGCAGAAATATCATTAGTTGTCCAATTAACTCTTTTCCCAGTAAAAAATTGTAAAAATCTTAGATACAGCCTCGCTCACTTTAGCATCATCATTTTTTTGTTTAAGCTGTTGTTTTAATAAAGCGTTTTCAGCTTCAGTTGCTTTATTTTTTTCTTGCAACTGAAGCAGCTGCCCTTCTACTTTTTTATATTTTTCTTCCCAATTTTCATCACACTTTAACACAGGCCTGACATCATCCCCAAATATGTTTTTTCTACAGTGTTTAATAAGTGTACTATTTCTGCTTAGACTCTAACTTTTTTGGGGATGGTGTTTCCAAAATAGTGCCTACCTGAGTAGAACCTTTTTTACTAGGTGTAGTGCTCATACTTGTCGGCCTACGGTCTGTTGGAAGGGCATCTGACTTCAATCTTCTCCTGTTCTTAGGACTGTATTCCAACAGTTTGTGTTGCATTGACTTCATCAAACATTCTGGAGCAAAATGCACAGAGCATACATTGAAAGTAACACTGCTAGAGATGTTGTCATCAAGGTATGTGTATTGTTGCTATCAGTTTTGGCATTTACTGTATCTTGTCTATTACAGAACGATACCCATTCTTGACAAAGGTTTTGATCCTTCGGGAACCTGAAAAAATGTACATTCGCATCCTCCTTTTTCCTTTGGCTGTTCGAACAGCCAAACATTGCACAGTGCACCATTTTTATTGTTCACTATTCACCTTAACGCCAGGATATTACAACTCGTTGACGTTTCTAAATAAAGTCAGTTCTGTTTGTTCACAATTTGAGTCATCTATATTAGGCACAATAGTAAAGTTGCACTTTGTAATAATTTCCTTGCACGTTGCCGGTTTCTGACTGTTTGATTCAGAATTTACTCATGGTATGTTATTTGTGTATTAGTAAATCAAGGTATATGATTAGTGGGTAACAAAGAATTAAAAACTAAGTGAATAGTATTTATTGCAAACAAGTAAATAGTGATATTACATGAATATACCATACATCACAAAATTTAAATTTGGCGGTGGACGGTGATACCGCTTGACGTCACAACGAAATGCGCAATAGCATACCTTATATTATTGTACCATGGTCTCAATGATCGTTGAAATGGCGTCTTCAAATTTTCAAGAGTCATTGAATCAGAAGGCGTACCTGCTACTCGCATCATCTTCTTATGCTTTTCCGTAGCCACAACTGCGGTTGTAGCAAAATTTATTTCCGTTCAGTAAGGAATAAATTTCTACAGATCTATAGAAAATATACTGTTGTTTGTAATGATTCACCAATAGGAGACTAGGGTGCTTAAATCACGTTTGGAACACAGGTTGTCAAGTGCTAAAATTGATGGTGCTCAGACGCAAACCTTAGTAATAATAATAAATAATAATAATAACTTAGTCGTCACTAAGATGATTATCAAATATTATTGCATTTAATGTGACCTTCAGCAGTTTTTAAATATTTTCTTTGTAATAGCTTTTCATTTTTACTTCCTGAGCGTAAGCAAAGAAAGTATTGTAATCGAGTCCGTCGGCCGACTCTGTACTTTTACGTTTTCTCGACCTTTCATGACCCCTAGAGTACGAAAACATAAGTCTCCCATTTTAGTCTGTGTGTCTGTCCGTCTGTCTGACGTCCCGAATTTTTATTAGATAGAAATACAGAAAATGTCCGAAGTACTGGTACCGATTGTTGTCAAATTTTGTATTTATATTAGGAATATCATGCAGATGGTAAAACGCTAACCAAAATTTATATAATCATCCCCACCACTAATGTGATGACGTCACTTCAAAATTGTAGATAGTAAATGAGTTTTAAATTGTATAAAATAACCTAGTCCTACACATGTAGTGTATGACTTCGAATTGAGTTTTTACCTGAAACGTCCAGATTTTCAAAAAACAAAAATCAAAATTTTGAATCTCCAAACCGAATGCTTTGAAATCTTGCAGATGATTTACAGTTATAATAAGCATGATAAATTTTTAATCAAAATATATTTACTTATCCCCTCTAAAAAACGAATGACATCAGCTCAAAAGTTTGCCGAATAAATCCTATCTAAAATGTACAAAATATGGTGATTGCTTGCAGTATCTCTGTTTCACTCTGACGTATACAGGATCAACAAGTGTTACAGCGTGTTGACTTAAATTAAGAATGCTTATACAGAAATGATTTTCAGTCGCCTCTGCTAATACACGCGGCATACGTGAGTAAACTGTTTCGTTATTTTATTGACTATAAATCAATATTCAAGACAACCTAATTCATTTTCCCGAAAATTTGGGAATACAGTACTTTTATTTTTAGTATTACACTACATCTATCCACACTAATGTACGTGTCCTTGCAAAAATGTTGAATACGTAAATGTTGAAAACTCACTTGAAACAATCGCATAACACGTTTCATTACTCTTACTTGAACATTACTACATATCTTTATTTTAACTTATAATGGTTGTCATAAAAAAATAATATTCCCAAAATCAAATCTTTTTATTTTTCAAAACAACTAGTTTTAAGGTGAAACCTTCTTTTTTCTGTTGCATCGTGACTAATACCATCTATATTGTTCTTACTCCATAGTGATTACCACGAAAAAATAAAATTCCGCAAAATCAAATTTTATAATTTTTGGACTGTACTTCAGAAGTGAGCGAAGTTCTGTTGGAATAACTTTCGGCAAATTTTTTTCTTGAATAATAGTGCCAGCCACCACACAAAAAAATGTAATTCCAAAAAGAGAAATTCGTTTTTTTAAGAAAAATGTTAAATGTAATAACATTGTTGTTGAGGTTGCGGTGGACATAAATTACACATAAATAAAAGTTTTATTAGAAAATTGTAGCTACATTCTTAGTACTGGAGATTGTATGGAGCTCCCATTTGTTGTAAAGAGTTATGTATCCATTTCATTTGTCTGCATAATCGTATCTCTATCCAACAATTGTAATTTGTAACTGGTGTTTCCGTTCTCCAGTGGTCCACAAAAACTACTCTTATGGTAAACATCTTTGCAAGTTCATAGACCGCTTCAGTTCCTTGTTTAGCCGCGTCATTTAATAACGTATGGAATACATCATCATCCATCAGTTGCATACTTGTTATATCAAGTGGCTGTAACGGATGGAGAGTATGTTCCATATGATGTTTAACCCTATTACAATAAAGCGATTGGATATAAACGACCGAGTCGGACAACAGTTGTATAAAAACAGATCCATCCTCATAATGAAGAGAAATTCCGTTCCCTATTTGTCTTCTCGTATTAGTCACTTCGTCCTCTCGTGACTCGTTTCGAATTTCCTCCAAATTAAAACACTCGACTACTTCTTCAGCCACGGTATTACACTTTACAACAATCTTAGGTGGAAAACACTCAAAAGTTTGTAACTTACGACACTTTTCGTAATAGACGATGGTCGCCCACGGATGAACAGGTAGATGCCACGCGAGGCCTGCAGTTGGTCGACTTTTTCTCAAGTAATGTAATGGATTGAGACAAATTTCTCTATGAATGGCCGAATAACAGCTTCTGTCAGGTGTAAAGTTTGCAAGCTCTGCTTGTATGTGGTGTTTGCGGATATGTGTCCATCGCCACAATTGTCCATAAATTCTGATGTTGCGGTCGGGGACGAAATAATTTAGTCGCCGAGGGATATTTATGCACGGAGTAATGTTACTTGTTGTTGGAGGGTTGTCTGAATTCACGATTTTTGAGAAAAGTTCGAGAATAGACTTCTCGACGGTGGATTGTTCGAAACTTAAACGGTGTAACTGTTCTTCAAAAAAGTGGGAGACGTCATCGGCTTGAGATTCATCGGCAGACATGATGGTAACTGAAAGAAGACACAAATATAATAGTTTTGTTTACATAATTAGAACAATGTCGGTATACAAATGATGATGCATTGTAGGAAGCGCAAAGTTCAGTGTCATTTACACACCAAAAATTCAATTTAAATTTACATAGAAAATTAAAATTACAGGTCGTATTGCAAGACAGTCCATCTCGTGGCTACTTTCATGTCACATGACGTAACTTCAGAATTTTACTTGATAAATGCTATTTAAATGTTATAAAGCAATATACTTCAGTACTTGTGGTTTATGAATTTGATGCCAGTTTTTACCTTAGGTATTTAGATTTTTAGAGCGCGGCTTCTAAGTCGAGTTTGTGTACATCGAATGGCGTAGTTTACCAATTCTACTTTTTTATCTCGATTATTTTAAAAGAACCAGTGACTATGTATTTAAAAGACCGGCAACCCCGTATCCTAATGCGTACCAGTAAGTTAATATTGGCGGTCAGAGGGCGCCCCAAAATGCGACAAAAGCCCTCTAACCTTCAATGGTTGTTACTAATACCCACGACATGCTGCATTAGTTAATACGGCCTGTTCATAACTGTAGTTGCACTGTATCCTCCGATTTTAGTGAGGGCGCTAGCGGATGGGCGCATTTTAGGAATTTTTATTATTAAATTATGTTGGTTGGATGGTACTCACTGTTTTTTAGTGTCTAATCTGACATTCAAATTGAAATTCTCTTGAGAATCTTTAAGCGCGCTGAAAGTAGTTATTTGTGAAGTCCATTTGTTATTGTTCGTTGTTTTTCTTTTTGATTTGCAGTTTTCGTTCCTTTTTTATTTGTTTTGTGGTGTTTCGTTCCCATTTTATCGTTTCAACTCGTTTAGTATTTCGTTATTATTTCATAGTTTAATTAGTGTTTGTTACTTCCCGAGCGTAAGCAAAGGAAGTATTGTAATCGAGTCCGTCGGCCGACTCTCTACTTTTACGTTTTCTCGATCTTTCATGACCCCTAGAAGACGAAGAAATAGGTCTTCCATTTCCGTCTGTCTGTCCGTCCGTCTGTCCGTCTGCCGTCCCGGATTTTTATTAGACAGATAATCTCCGAAAGTACTCGACCGATTGTTGTGAAATTTTGTACTTATATTAAGAATATCATGTAGATGGTAAAACGCTAACCAAAATTTGTCTAATCATCCCCACCACTAATGCGATGACGTCACTTCAAAATTGTACATAGTAAATGGGTTTTCAATTGTATAAAATAACATAGTCCTACACATGTAGTTTACAACTCTGAATCGACTTTTCACCCGAAACGTTTAGATTTTTGGAAAAAAAATCAAAATTATTAAACAACATTTTGAAATTTAATTTTGAATCTGCTCACCCGAATGCTTTGAAATGTTGCAGATGTTTTAAGGCTATAAAGAGCATCATAAATCTTTAGTCAAAATATATTTGGTTATCCCCTCCAAAAACTTGATGACGTCACCTCAAAAATTTGTCGAATAAATCATATTTAAAATGTACAAAATATGATGAGTCTGTACTTGTGATCTATCACTCCATTCATATTTTTTGGATTTGCATATACAGGGTGACTCAAAAAAATTAATGAATGCGTAAATATATTTTATTGATTTAATCAGGAACTACAAAACCGAATGCTCTGAAATCTTGCAGATGTTTTAAGGTCATAAAGAGCATAATAAATGTTTAGTCAAAATATATTTGCTTATCCGCTCCAAAAACTTGATGACGTCAGCTCAAAAGTTTGCCGAATAAATCGTATCTAAAATGTACAAAATATGATGAGTCTGTACTTGTGATTTATCATTCCATTCATATTTTTGGATTTGCATATGCAGGGTGACTCAAAAAAATTAATGAAGGCGTGAATTTATTGTATCGATTTAACCAGGAATTACAAAACCGAATGCTTTGAAATCTTGGGAATATTTTAAAGTTATTATAAGCATGGTAAACTTTTGTTCAAAATGTATTTGTTCATCCCTCCTAAAAAAATTGATGACGTCACCCTTAAATTTTGCTGAATAAATCCTATCTAAAATGCAAAAAATATGATGAGTTTGTACTTGTGATTTATCATTCCATTCATATTTTTTAGATTTTCTTAAGAGGTGGTTCACAAAAATTAATGAAGTCAATTTATTTTATTGATTAAATTAAAGGCAACACTTATTATTAGTATTACACCCCAACCAACCCAATTTAGTAGACACAAAATTTGTTAAAGGAAAAACTCGGTTGAAACATAAGGGTAGCACGCTTATTTACATCGACTTTAACATTACAGACCTGCATTTGTTTTATGCGCTCACTTGGTTCCGCGAATGTGAAATAGACATGTTTATAATCAACCAATTGTGAATTTCACCGTCAAGAATTAAAATAAAACCCAATGTTTTACATAATAAGCGGAGGTCGAAGCAATAAAATCGATGGTCGTTTTGTTTACAGTTTCTCTGTTTGACTCTCACGTATGCTGTTACGCCTGTCATCTTAAATTAAGAATGTTTATACATACACGATTTTCAGTTGCCTCTGATACGTATACGTGAGTAAATTGTTTCGTTATTTTATTGATTACTACAAATCAATATTCAAAACGACCCAATTCATTTTCCCGAAAATTTGAGAATATAATAATTTTATTCTTAGTATTACACTACATCTATCCCAACTGATATACGTGTCCTTGCAAAAATGTTGATGACGTCATCGCAATTTTTTTTTAAATTCCCACTACAAAAATGTAATGAGAAAAAAAACACAATAGGCATGCAGTCGTCAAGTTTCCGACAGCGAGGGAAGTACTGTCTAAACTCTTTAGACCAATTTTTTTAAATTGTAGAATCCTGATTTAAGTCACTCAACAATTATTTCTGAACCTGAGTCCTTATATAATGAATCCCAAACATTAAGTTCCAATACTGATCTTCGTCTTGATGATATATCAAAACTTAAACTTGAAATCAAAAAACTGAAAATGAAAGTAAACCGTTTGGACAAACAGAACAAACTGAAAAATCAACAGCTACAAAAACTGCAATTAAAAATTGACAATCAAACGAATCAAGCCCGTATATTCGAAAAAATTGAAGCTGATGCCAAGAATAACGACCCAAAAGCCACATTTCTATTAGACCAAATATTAAAAAATTGGTCTAAAGAGTTTAGACAGTACTTCCCTCGCTGTCGGAAACGTGACGACTGCATGCCTATTATGTTCTTTTTTTGCAGTGGATTTCAAAGAATTCGGTTTTGTAGTTCCTGAGTAAATCAATAAAATAAATTTACGCATTCATTAATTTTTTTGAGTCACCCTGTATATGCAAATCTAAAAAATATGAATGGAGTGATAGATCACAAGTACAGACTCATCATATTTTGTATATTTTAGATATGATTTATTCGGCAAACTTTTGAGCTGACGTCATCAAGTTTGTGGAGGGAATAAGCAAATATATTTTGACTATACATTTATTATGCCCTTTATAACCTTAAAACATTTGCAAGATTTCAAACCATTCGGTTTTGTAGGTCCTGAGTAAATCAGTAAAATAAATTTTTCAAATCTCTGTCATCAAGTAATAATTTAATGACTCATATTCAACATCCAGTAGAACCAACAATATCATTATTTATGAGCTTTGATTACTGTCATATTATTAAAAATTTGAGGAACATATTTTTGGACCATGACATGCATTCTGGTAACGGTATTATTTCTGCACGACTTTTAAAGAAAATATATGATATGCAACACAAATTAATTGTTAAACCGGTAAAGTTTTTGACCAGGAAGCATATTTGCCCAACCAATTTAAAAAAGATGAACTTCCGTCGTGCTGTGCAAGTATTTTCCATAGAAGTAAGAGCAGCAATAGAGTATTTGGGAAAATATAACAATCCAGGTTTTGTTGATGTTGAAGAGACTTTACTAAAGTTTATGGAAATGATGCACACATTTTTTAAAATTCACGATGTCAATGACAAAACTCAGCACATCCGGCAAGTAAATGAAAATAGTGCTCCATATACAGATATTAATGATGAACGCCTTCTCTGGATGTTAAAAACTTTACCTGCTTATATAGATTCCATTCAACTATCTTCAAAGGCAAATAAAATGACGGGATTGACTAAAGAGACTGCAGAAGCAGTAAAATTCACTGCCAAAAGCACTGCAGAATGTATCAAGTATTTACTTAAAGAGAGTGGCTTTTTCTATGTCTTAACGCGAGCATTTAGCTCAGATGCAGTTGAATCGATGTTTAGCAATGTCCGATTATGCGGTGGTTCTCAGGACGCTACTGATGCCAGGGTTGCACACTATGCTATTAAACGAATAATTAAGTCAGGTTTAATAACAACTTCCGAATCAGCAAATGTATATTCTGACTGTAATCACTTGAGTAAAATTTGTCAAATTCAGTCTTCTGAAAGATCTACGACAGAAACAAATATACATATACCTGACAGTATAATTGAAGAAATTAGTGACCTTCATAAATTAACATTTGTTAATACCATTTTCACAGATATCAACTCTGCATCAGTTGCGTTTTTATCTGGATATATTTGTAGAAAAGTTAGAGTGCAAAAATTGTTTAGATTCATTACTAACCACCGCAAAATTTACCCCGTTGCTTGACTTGATATATCTGCAAGACAGAGGAAAATTAAAATATCCCACAAGATCATTCACAAATTTTATAAATAAAATTATAAAAATTACATTTGATATTTTGGAACACATACCAGTAAATCAGCCAATTGCCAGTTCAGCTTTTTTGCCTTGTGAAGATAAAAACCACAAAGTAATGGTTGCAAACTTAATATTATCTAAAGTGTTGAAACCAATTTTTGCAAATTTTGGCTATACAAGAACTGATAATGTTACATTGTTTATTAATTTGACCCATAAACCCCATTCAAGAAAAGTATTAAAATTATAAACATACCTGTCTGTTTTTTTATATTCTTCCAGCGCTAATTAGGGT